GCATGACAGTGGTGTGGGCACTGGATCGATGGATTGCAAGGTAAGGGAAACCACAGGTAGTTAAGCAACGGGTGCAACATGCTCTCTGGCGGCAGTGGGTGCATTAATGTCAGAATGAATGGTAGCGAAAAATACTGTACTTTACTGAAACCTCAATATAAAAACATTAAATGCACTTGGAGAGGCTTTTAACTACGATGCCCTCTGGAAGTCTGTCACAAGCCATCTGTCAAACATGAGACTTCAAAACCCAGCCTTTACCACGTGGTGCAAGCATTTACCAATTGTAACGGACTAAACAACAATATGACAACAGACTACGAGAACATAAATATGCAAACACACAGAGAAGGAATTAGATAATTTTTTGTCGTATTCTGTATATTTTATGTTGCTTCAAGGAAATTAATTTATCAAAATTGTAAAGCTGGCGTAAAACAGGATTATGGCTTCAACTTTTGGTCAACATCCGACAAAAGGCTTATGACAATAAGATGAGCCTAAATGAAAATTATAAAAATATATTCCACGTTAAATTCTTTCCCTGTTTCAGATCATACGTATATAATCCATCTCTCGGATAAAATCTAGACATTCTAAAGGTAAAAGTGCTGGATCCTTCATAAATTCTGCTACCTGAATTATGATTCAAAATCAATTCCAATAATTCACAGCTAAACTCATGAATTATACTTTATGTTAAGTAAGTGATTCCAACTTACACATACTTCCAATAGCGTTATTGTTGTGCATTGTTTGTTGACGCCGAATATTGGATTTTCTGTATGTTTGAAGCAAAACTTTAAATGGCAGTAATGTCAAACGAGGATCAATAAAAAAAATTAAAAGTCGAGCATTAAGAGCATCAGAAGTGGACGCAAGAACATTCCGAGAATTCCAGCGTAAACGATGTCCATTAGTCATCCTGACTGAAATCAATGCGCGTCTAAAGAGGTATTGTCAGAATGCGTACTGATTGTTCTGTTAGAATGTATTGTACTTGTAACTAAAACGCTCTTTGAAGCAAGAACATAGCGTACATCCACAATCAACACCCATTTGTCTGTTAAAGCCGTCGCTGCCCTGAATGGCACATCCATACAGAAACAATTATCATTGTCGCCTTCGTCTGTAGTTTCCTCTGCTCTATCCACACCTCTCCGTCCTCTTCTTCCCCGCTACCCTACATCGGCCAACGTCATTATAAAATCGAAATATTTTGTCTTTCACAAAGAGGTTAATTCCGCGGGGAATACTCGTTTTTTCCGCACTGATGATGTGCAGTATTCAATCCTTACCTAACACTTTTAGGGCATACTTGTAGGTTGCAATAGTTCAGTTGCATTACATTCTGCGTACAATATGAATACTGACATTACGCTTTGCGTGCCAACTTTGCACAATTGATAAATAATTGTTTCCGTTCCTCTCCCCTTGGAAGAAGAGGCCGGTGGCAACGTATGAGTCGCTTTACAGGGTTTCTCCGCTTGCGGGGCACCGCCTCCCCGGGGACAAGTATTAAGCTGCGGACTAGCCCCCCGAGATGCGGGCAGTGAAGTGCATGTAAATGTATGTTTGCGTTTGTGTGTGTGTGTGTGTGGGGTGTGAGTGTATGTAAGAAGATACGACGGGACAAGGATACGAAAGGAATGACTGAGCGCGGTTTGTGTCTCTTTTTTAAGGTAGAGCTTCCGCATTCGCCTGGACAGATTAAAGAAACCGCAGAAAACTACCGATAAGGAGTAGCCGACCGCTGAATTCCATGTACCAACTTTGCACGATAACAATTTGATACATTTGACGAAAATGCGAAAGATATCAAGCTTTCATCGTGACAAGAGAAGAAAGAAAGGTGGCTGTGTAAAGCGCGAAAATCAGAGCGGTCTTTTCCCTACGCGAGTCCCCGCCTGCCCCAGGCGTGTCTGTTCTTCATTTCCACCAAGAAGATGCGAGGTTAGAGAGCGCTCTGTAAGCTTAGCCGCTAGTTTGAGCGGGAGGGGGAGGGGGAGGGGAGGAGCCCTGACCGCAATTAGCGATGCGGAACGGCAGCGGTGAGCCCCGGCGCGTGCACGGGGCGCAGCACCACCCCGCCGCCGCGGCGCCGCGCCAACGCGCAGTGGGCCACCACTCGCCAATCGCCTACCCGAAAGCCATTGCAACCTAAGGAAAAAATGTTAAAGAATCTTAGAGTATTCGTCTACGAGAATTATACAAGTAACTTCAGGATAATCAATGTACTTGCAGACGGAGATAAAAAAGTTTTAAAATCTAGAAATTGAAACACTAGATCTTAAATCGTCAGAGTAATAACGTTCCTTTGCTAAAATACGGAAGCAAAGTAAAATCATACATTCTTTTTGAAATGATATGAATCTCTTCCCATTCGCTGGGGAAAGTTGTAAGGAGTCAAGAAAGACTGCCCCGCAGTTCGCTACTTTGCACTGTAGGGAGTTTAGTAGGTTAAAAGTACGTAGGATACATAGTTAGTAGGAGTAGTTTATGGAATCGTATATTGCAAAGCGTCACAGAAGTAGAGGCATTAACACTAGCACAACTGCCGTATTCCATTTAGACAGCACATGTTAGTAACGTCCGTGCATTTTAACGTCTTTCCAATGATGTCAAAATTTTGCGGGTACTCCACTAAACTGAGTAGTATATTCACAACTAAATGTACTATTCCTCCAAGGTCGCGAACTGGAAAGCAGAGGGGACCACTCACCCAATGGGGACTTGTTACGACTTAAATTGTTGGGTACTGAAACTCCCGGGAGGATGACAGTGTCCCCCTCTCCTCCCATATCGTCACTTTAAAGGCACACTACAATTAAATCGGAGTATATAGTAGGAACCAGTCAACATTTCCTCTATTCACAGCGCCTTAATCGGTGTTTGGCCCCTCGTGACACGCGTGTGCGTCGCAGAGCGTCGCGTGCCTCGTGCTTCGCCACTGGCAGCGGCGCGACGCGTGGGAGCGCCCGCCCTCGCGAACGCCAGCTGCCGCGTCGATCGGGCGGCGGCGGCGGCGTCGGCGGCGCTGGCAGCTGGGCGGCCGCGCACAATGCGCCGCCGCCCCCTTCACCTCCCCCTCCGCCATCGACAACGCCAGCCACAGGCATCACTGATCCGAGCGCACACGGAGACCTCGAGGCGTCAATGGTCGGTGACACCGGCAACAGAAAGCGGGGGGAGGAGGTGGAGACAATAGTGCCGCGGTCCCACTTGAGAACTTTGAAAGAAGCCCGTAGCCTTACGTAAGAAAACATTTTATTGCTTTAAAATAATTGCAATCTCTGATTTTACCTTTTTAATCTGAGGATTTGGGGAATTGTTATACATTTTGAGAAAAAGCTCTCAAGCCATTTCGCAACCCTGTGAATCGTTCAACAGAAAAGCGATATTTTTATTAATTGTGTCACTTCAGTTCCTCTGGCATGATTTATTTTTTTACTAATTAAATACGTCATTTTTAAGTTAAAAAGTTTAAAAGAAAAATACGGCCCAGAAATGTACTGACCCCAATTTTTGTTTTAGACTACGCAGATCTACGCTGTTATTGCAAGCTTGGAAAAGCCACAGGTCAAGATGGCCTGGGTGCTGGTGGTGAGTGGTACTCCGAGAAACCGGAAGCACCACGTGGTGGGAAAAACGCAGCGGCAGACGGCCAGAGGTGAGAGAGCGTCAGCGTACGAGGCCAAGCTCGTAGGGGGGGCGAGACGAGAGCGAGGGCGGCGGCGGAGCGTTGGAGGGCGCAGGCAGGCCGTTGGGGCGTCGAGGCACAGCAATGGCCGATGCGCTGCAAGAGCTGTCGATCTTAAGTCGCCGCCGCCGCCGCCGGCGGGCGAGCCGGAAGGAAGGCGGGCGCAGTTCCGCGCTCAAAGGCGCCGCCCCGGCCCAAGCAGATGCGGGCCTTCAATGGGCGCGCCAGGGGGCCGCGGCCCGCAGATAAAGGGACTCCGCCCCTTCGGCTGTTCGATGCGCGATTTCCACCGCAACGGATCGAGGTCGGCCCGCCCGGAACATTGTCATTGCCTTCTCCCATTCTCTATACTCTCATGGCTGAATAACGGCGGTTCATCACCGAACATCATACAAAACAGTATGTTTCATCACGTCATTAGGTTGGTAAAGCGTGTGAAAATAATCGCGCAATCCAGCGTTCGGGGCATACACATTAAAGCACGCATGTAGTATTCCAGAGGGATGCGTCGTCCGTCACTACGAGACAGCGCCAGTGTTTGACTTCCCTGTAGGCGCACGCTTTGATGTGTCTTACGCAGTCGCTTCTCAAACAAGCTCTCTTTATTGAAACGATGAATTTTCTTTGCACGGAGGACAGTTTCGTGGAATTTTATCATTGGTGTATAGTGTTTTGCGCCATCTTTTGAAATCTTACGAGGTGGTTTTTGCACAAAGCAATACAAAAACATTTGGTAAACGTTAACGGGTATAGAATAATCTGAATTTTCAATTCAAAGCTTCCTATACGGTTCTACTGTGCACACAAAATTTACTTTATCTGATGTCGGGCAGCCCAGATCAAAATTTACTTTATCTTACATCTCTCTGTAGCCGTCACCTGATAAATCTTACGGGCATGACATATGTTGCGGGCGAACAATGTAATGTTTATTCTAGAGAAATATACCGCAAGCTTCAATTCCTCAAACCTCCGAAAGATTTTAATACTTTGGAATACAATATCATAGACATGAAAGCAAAAATATGTTTGATTGTTACTACAGAAACAAATTATGAAAATGTGTGTGAGGTTGGGGGAAAAATATACTTTTTTGTGATATACTAGGGGGGGTTTAGACCATAGGTAATTTTGACCATTTCTTCTGAGGTCACTCAAACTCGTCATCTTCTCCTGCTCCTAGAAAAGTTTACCTCAGTTTCCAGAACAATCCCCACGTTTCACGGAGCAGAAACCACTTCACATTCCATTTATATTTCAATTTATGACACTAGATAAGTTGGATTCGTCCTTTACTCACCCATGAGGCCGAGCTGCTGGGGCGAGAGCATGGTGCCGGCCGGCGCGTCGCCGCCGCCAGGCAGCAGCACCGCGCCGCCGCCCAGCGACCCCGACGCCACCGACAGCCGGTCGCTGGACAGCAGCGACGCCTGCCGCTGCAGCCCGCGCCCGCCGGGGCTGGCGCTGCGCCGCCCGCCCGCCTGGCTCAGCACGTCTGCGCACACACACAACCTCGCGTCACCCCGCGTCTTCACCTGGAAGAAAGCTACGGGCAATATGTTCACTTGGCCATAAACTTTTCATTGGTTCCGGGCACGGCATATGGCGAGATCATTAGTCCCGTAAGGGTAGTGCTCGTTATATATAGGGAAGATATAATATCTTCCCAAATTATAACGTGTGATCAAATCCTGACCTGCAGGCAGCATCGTCCACTCCAGGTACCTCCACCAGTGGGATACCTCACCAGCGACTAGCTCTAAGCCCCTCACTAGTCTCCCGATGTAGATGTTACGTGAATGTTAAAGAAAGTGAGTGTGGAAGTGGTGGGCAAGGGACAAGGATGACTAAGGATTCTCGTACATGGCACACTGTTAGTGGTCTGTTTGTTAACGCGGTGATGCTTGGCCATCGCTATTGGTCGATTTCCACCGAAGAACAAAGAAAAACAGTGTCACAATGTGTCGGAAAAGCATTTGGTTCTTTTTTATTCGAAATGTATTCCGTATGCTTCGCCGAATCTTACAAATTGTTAGTCTGTGGAAACAACTAGAGATCGTGTCAATGGAACACTTCCGGAATTAACGCAGCGCCCTTCTGGTGTTCTCTTGCAATCTCGTGCAGAAAGTCTGGAAAGTTTGAGAAGCACCAGAGTAAAAAATCCGGGGAAACTACTGTAGATAAAAGGGCGGCGATTTAACAGTACTTATGTAGTCAGAATAATGAAAAATTGCGACTAAATTTGCTAAATGAAAAGGGTAAATATGATGCAATAGAATAGTACACATTTTGGGTTACAAGGTTAAGCAAAACGTACATTTCAAATGGCCCATAATATCAAAAGGTAAAATTTTTAACACTTTTTTTCCATCGACACTTTTCACTATAATACTTGTATAATTGAACTATCGAATGATTTATATGAGATATCCGTTTTCATGCAATTACAAATAAATCCAGAATTTCAAACACCTAAATGGCACAGAAAAAATATAATGTTGGAGTTAGCACACAAGGCAATAACGAATTTAATACTGATTCATATCACAAACAATTTATACTCCACATTACACTCAATAATATTAATATTTTAATGGATATGTTGATTAAAAAATATGTAACAAATTTTATAAATCGTCCTGCAAGTAAAATTCCGAGTGTAAATTACATATTGACATTCGTGTCTTCTACGCATCTTGGGAACAAGGATCATTCAAACTCATACTTGTCGACATGAAACCGTCTTCCCCCTCTTTGAATACGTGCTTTCCAACCTCGGAGCTCCCAGAGTTTTCTGCCACCCAGCCCTTGGGCGAGGGAGAAATCGATGGCAACGACCGCCCTCAGGCCCAGACTCTCATCTACCGCCTCCTTTCACCCTTCCGTAAATCCCCGCTCCCGAAAGACCGTGATCCCAAACGCTTGCAAGCAAGCGGCAACTTGTCGTGATTCCCAGAGAACGAGGAATTCCTCTTTCGGCGCGCCCTTCACCGGCTCAGCCACAACAAACAACCCCGTTAATTAAAGGCGTCTCCCGCGCGGGCGAAGCGGCTCGGCTATCTGATCGCGCGATGTAAACACCGCCGCGAAAAGAGTCCGCTGGTTCGGCAGCATGCCACCGCTCCCCGCCTCCTCCCCTCGACGGCCCAGCGTCCCGCGCACACACGGTGGGGCTACTACTCGCACCAGCGGTCAAAACTCCTACTTCAATACTTTCATTCGTCATGTACTGTCAATACCACTTCATCTAAAACTTCCATTCTGCTGGAAATATACAAGTATACCCATACACTATTTCGAGGACAGTAAGATACCTAGCTGAGCTGTTGAGCGAGACGTCCTTTTGCTGTTTTGTTTTGGGAAGTAATAAGACTAATTTTATCTGTAACTCACATAAGAGGAAGACAATAATATCTCACCACGGGGTGTTGGAGAGAGGATGATCCTTTCTAACATTTGCCGAAGCTAATATTTTATTGGAATTCCTCAAAGACTGGGGTTGAAATTGTAAGAATTAGACTTTTTCTTATGAATTCATTTTTCTGAAAGGTTTGGGATTGGGTAATGAACGTTATTTAACGTGGAATATACAGCTATATGTAACCCTCGCTTCGAATTTTTCCACGGTTCTAGGAGTATAATAGATCCTTCGATAATTACGTGACCGTTCTAATCAACGCTTTTCAAATACAGGTACATGAACCACAAAATTACAATGTATAGTAGAAATCCAATTATACGGGACTAAACGGGAATCGAGCTAGCTCGGATAAGCAGAAATTTAGATGGTAAAGCTGAGAAATTAATTGAAAACAATATTAAACATAAAAAGTTAATTTAGGTTTATTAGATAAAGTTAACAGAATTTAATTTACAAGTTTAAAGAAGACATACTTGAAATTTACCGGGACAGGCGGCTCAGGCAATCAACTGATGTCACCGCAGTGCTTCTGATCGAGATTCGAGTTCCGACAGTGTCACTATTTTCGACCCTAGCGCATCAGCTAGGTCAAATTCAGCCGCTAAATAGAGGAGAATTCTAGCAGCCGGCTGCTCTGATCGGTAGTTTTCCGAGGTTTCTCCCATCAACACCATACGAATGGCGCAGCAGAATCTCTGCACGGGACACGTACCGCGCGCGATCTTTCCTTCCCTGTCCTATCCTCTTCCCTTACACTTACATGCACTACACGACCACACGTGCCAGGAGGTCGGTCAGGAGCTTAGAGCTTGTCCCGGCAGGGGCGGTGCCCCGCTGATACAAGATACCGGGTTGGGGAAAAAACAGTTAGTCGGCAGGTCGGCGCCAGATCTCACCATCCAGCGGGGGGAAGATCACCGCCCCGTCACGAGGAAAAACGTTCACTACACTAGCGGGACTAACATAAAAATAAAATTGTTTAAACAAATTGCCACCCAAAATCGTTGGAATAATTGAATTTACGTATCAAGGTTCGAAGTGCTCCCCAACATTTGCCTCCCTCGCCCCGGCGGCACGCGGGCAGGCCCCACCGCCTGGTCCGCTGCTTGTGCGATCATATCTCCCGGCGCGCTGGAGCCCTGGCGGAGGCCGCGCAAACCAATAAATGCAAACCGCGGCGTCTGCCGGAGCCGCTCGCGCGCCCGCATTTACATAAAGGAGTACGCGAGCGACTCCCGACGAGTTGACAAAGGGCTTGTCTCGCGATATCTGCCCGGCAGCTGCGTCGGGTGCGCGGCGCTGTTGTGCGTCTGGCTGAAACGGACAGGCGGTCGGGAAGTCGGGAATTCACAGGGCAAGTCCGATGGCTGCACGAAGAAAAGTAACACTGTTGATGGACGCCATTAGGAGGACCCACGAACTTAACGCATGCCAATATGTGTGTGTTTCATACATATTATGTCCCTATCTGACAAAGTTTTTCTGATCTCCCAAACGGCTCGTAGAAGACACATCGAATGAAAAGAAGTAACTAAGGTTATGCACAAAAATCATGCCTAATTGTCTAGTTCGTTTTTCTTGCCCAGAAAAGATATTAACATTCAACAAAGAACCAATGATACTAAATTACACTCTTATACTACATGCCAATGCGACAGCTTAATTATTGAATGTATGACATTTCTGAGAGCTAGCAAATTCAACCTTTTTAACCTACAATAAACTGTTTTTAAAACTAGCCGAATTATTACTAGCCGGAAAATTTTGTATTCAATTCAAATTTTTGAGCAGAAAATATATCGGCCAACATTACATTCATCTCAAAATAATGTAAAGAAAATAATCAAGCCTATGTAAAGAAAATAATCCAGTTCAATATTTTATGCATTCATCAAAGTCGCAACCGGAAATATTCCGTAAAGAATTTTGATCAAGAACGGTGAAAAATGAAGTGAAAGAATTTTCATCCAATTATTCTAGCAGAAAGACATCCTTATTTCTCCCCAGATCTTCCTTTCATGCAAAAACCATTAAGTAATTTCACATTTATTTTGGAGAAAAAATGCTACATCAGTTAGTAAACACGTTAAACGGAATGTAATGTTCAAACAAACAGTGCTGTTCTTCCGACAAAAATAAGTTTTGTGGACATCTATGAGTAGAAAACGGCCTTCTTAAATACACGGTGAACATAGAATTAACGTTTTGTGGGTCGTCGGTAGAGAAAAATTGGTTTTCGATATAACGTCTGTCTGTTCGTCTGTCAGTGAACACTAGTACCCAAATTATTCACAGGCGTTTTTCCAAAATTAAAATTCCGGAACGATCATGTCCGACTGAAAGTCCTGCAATTTCAAACGAATCTATAACATTTTGTTAATATTTCACACGAAGCACCAACATTTTCAAAAGTTTCTAAAAACAGTTCAACATTATAATTTTTTTTCAGGCAACAAAGTATGCTTCAAAAGATAGAGCAGGTCCAATTTTCAATTCGAATTTCGAATTGTACGAGGTTCGAATTTCTTGGACTCCTCGCACGACTATACAGACACTTAGTACTTTTCCTCCCTACACCATAGTACACGGTACAGGGATACACTTCAACAAAACAATCTCGAATTTTCGGTAGTAAAATTCCCCAATCAATCTGGCCCGTCTCGAAGCCCTGCAAATGTAAAACGAATTCTTTGAAGTTTGGGGATTTTTTACATGACGCTGCTGGGAGATGTTCACAATTTTCTGAAAAATGGAACATTAAAATTTTTTTTTCTCAAGCGGAACAAAATATGCTTAAAATGACACCATAGTTCAATTCACGCTTACTTCGTAATTTGCAAAATTCCAAAAGGCGCAAATTTCTTGGTCATCCCCATAGACCTACATTATTGAAGTTAAAAAAAATTTAATTGAAATTTGTACTTTTATTTAGATCTTTAATACATGCCATTTACATTTATTTGAAAATAATAGTTTTCCGCAATTGTAAGTGAAAACAGGAGTTAAAGAAACAAACAATAATTTCACAAAAATGGCTACAATATTTCAAGAAATATTTGTAGATGTGAAGCTCA